TTTTGTGCATTTTTTTTCACAAGGGCTTTATAATGATCAAGATCTGATTTAGGTTGCTTAAAGTGAAAAAAAATAGTATTGTTCAAACTTTGATTCCCTCTGCCACTCACCACACATACTGATTTTTTCTTTCTAATGGTGTTCCTCTCTTTGCTTAACAGGGGAAATAGCCTGCTTAAATCACAAGTGTTTCTCCTGGTAATATTAATTTCTGTTTGTTCTCTTCCAAAACTAAATATATTTACCACAACTTGCAGCTAACTGATGATTGTAATACATTCAAATGTATAAACACAGTACAGTTATACAACTTTCAGACCGAAGATTAATAATTATAGCCAACCAAAATTAAGGATAATTATAGACAACCAAACTTTAAGGACAATTTTAGCTACACCTTGGCATAATTACCAGTGCTCATACTTGCCAAGGAAACAACTAGTATCCTTTTTCTGAAAATTGTTTGCCAAGTTCTCAGTAAACTGTGGCTTCCTTGTTTAGAGACTAGAAAAACAACTTGTTTTAGAAAGTGCTGAACCATTAGCAAAGCGTAATGCTTATCAGGTTCCAACTGATTGTCAAATAATGCTATCTACTGAGGATTTTAGACTTTCTCAAACTTTTTGATGTCTCCAGCTGCCTTGTATGTATACTGATTTGTCTAATATTTGTATTGCAGTCGTAGTGATAGACCACCAGTTGTACTCAGCACTTGTGCAAATAAAAAAAAAAATATTGACTCTATGGGCTTATGGAGAAGCGCTGCTGCAGCTCCTTTCCACGCCTGTTCTGTAAACTCTCAGCAAGACCACTTCTCCTGCAGCAGTGGGGAGAGGTAATATAGTACTGGGCAGTTGTTGCATACTGGCTTGGTAAAAGGGTGCCCTCTACTGAATTATCCGTACAACTTCTTAAAATTCTTACAGGTTCTCTATGTTTTTTCAACTCTGTGTAATATATGAGATACCATCGTAACACAAGACAGCGTAATTACAGTCAAAGCAATCTAAAATAAAGACTGACAAGTCAGCGTATAGACAAGTAAAATTTCTTAGAAAGTTGCCTCCTCCTTTTATCAGAGCCTAAGTATTCATGGATATTGGAAGTGATCTAGGAAGACAGTGCTGAAAAATCCAAGAGAGGGAATTATTTGCTTTTCCTTACCTAGAATGGTACAATGCATTCACATTTACCTAAAAGAGAAAAAAAAAAAAACAATTTGTTACCAGTTTAATAAGTTATTTTTTTTGTTCTAGTCTGTGATCTTATGCAGGATCCAGATGCTGCTGAATGATTTTTTTTTTTTTCACTAGCAAAGATAATTTATTAATTCTTTAAATAAAATATTTGTTTCCCTGATTTAATTTAATTTAGGCTCGCCTTTGCTGTTTTTATGGATGGAAGTCCAGAACAGTTCCTATGCTTCTAGACTGAAACTAGCCATTTCTGCCTACACAGTATAATTTATTTAAGAAAAGTTTTGACTGTTCTGAAACAACATCAGAAAACTAATTTCCAATTGTGGCTGCAGCAGTTCCACAGAGTGAGAAGTATAATAATACTGTTAACATCCAACACATCTGTGACAGAATATTGTTATATTCACTGGGCAGTGGACTTCAACAGCTTTTTAACATGTCTTCATACAAACTGTTAGTTCTGTTATCTTCAGTGTTTATATTTTCTCTTATCTTTAGAGATGCCTGAAAGTCAAGGGAAAGACAATGAAAGCCACATCAGCAGCAGTAGTTCCAGCACTAGCAATTCAGTTGCTTGCTTCGGACAGGTCAGTTCCTTTTGCCTGAAGGGGAAATAGAAGTTTTATGCTCACGCATCTGGAAATCTGCTGTGCAAATTTGCTCATTTTAAAGTTGGATACAGTAAGGCTGGAGTAATATCCATTACCCTAGCTATGCTATATGTAATTGTACATTTTGTTTTCCTCCATGATAGCCTTGGCATGCCTTGAATTATAATAAATTGCTCTGGACTCTTCACAACAGGTTTTTAATTTTGTTCCTTAAAAATAGGGCTCATTTTTTTCTCTCTCATTCCCAGATGGCCTGGATCATGTTTACAGACATTCTCAGTACTGGTTCAGGAAAGTGAACTACTTTCACTCAGCTATTAAAAAATAAATGAAAAATAAAAAATAAAAAATTTATAAAAAGGCAAACTGTATCTGGACTGAACAGACTCTTTGGTAATGAATTCTCTTCTCCATGATAGGCATTTATACATAGTTGGTGAATATGGCGTAGGTATGTGCACTCTCCCTTTTTCCTTATGACTTTTCGTTACAGGCTTGCATTCTAGAGCCAGAAAAAGACAAAGTTATTCCTTTAAGCTTAAATAGAACCAAATACAAATTAGAGAGATTTGGCAAGCATTGGGACTTACATGGCACACACTCCACTGAATTCTGTGTTCTGCTGAACGATAGGGCAGCCAATACATGCATACACAACATTTATGATTTAGGTGGTGAAATCTCTGTTCTGTCCCACACCAGAGCATAGCAACACAAGCTTTTTAGGGCATGAATCCTTAAACATGCATTTAGGCTTCTCTAACCTTTACAGATTATAAATTGTTTTTCTACTATGACAAGGAGCAAAAGTTCCCACACTTCAGGCTTCCAGTGATGCTGGAGTTGTCCAAAGGACCTTCCCTGCAAATTTCCCTGTGAAATTTGCTGAACACTCCTCAAGAAATTCCTACTTTGACTGCTTGCCTGAGCTGCTACCCTGCCTGATCAGATAGCGTACGGTGGCAGAGTAAGGTTAAACTGTGGTTTTGCTGGAGTTTTTAAATATGCTTTTATTGTTGGTCACAGAGATGTTATGTTTTATTTTTGAGAGGTAAAATATAAGCTTAAAATGTGTGTTCCTGGCAACCTTGGCCGGGTCTATCAATGCATTAAGATTTCAATAGCATACTAATAGGCCAGGCTCATCTCCATTTTTCTAATGTAAGTGATGGTTATGAGAAATGAAAAATAATTGCTACAACTCAATAATTCATGCTTGCATACAGATACTTCAAGTATAAGAGAAAAAACCAATATAATGCACAAATGTAATACACATACATACACACACATTCTGAGGTCTTTCCTTTTCTGTTACATCCTGATTATAAAAAAAGGATCATAAAATGGGATAAAGAAGTGATATTAGGAGAAGAGAGGGAGCTAAAATAGGAAGAGTGTGAAGATTTGTCTTACCTTGTTTTTGTCAAGTATCAATACACAGCAAGTGAATATCAAGCTATCCAGCATGCTCTTCGTCAGAGACTGGGTCCAGAATATATCAGCAGTCGGCAAGCTGGAGGAGGACAAAAGGTATGAATAAACATGCACAGATGTTTGAACTCACATCTTTTTCCAGGAAAACTAGGGTAAAAAAGTTTACAATAATCCCTATTTTTTTTAAAGTTAATTTCCCACTAGTAGTTTAAGACGCAGATATGAAAGCAAAGTCAGCATAGCATAAATTCTGGCTTTTACTGAGCCATGGGTTCCTTTTACAGTTTAAAAAAAGACTTAACTTTTCAGTGGTTCATCCTTTACAAGGGAATATTTATCTACTTGTGCAACATTGACATGTTTTTTCTTTTTTTTTCCCCCAGAACTGGAATAGACGAAGCATTATATAAGATTGGCTGCATTTTACCCTCTTTAGTGCCTGCTAGCTCTGCCTTTCCTTGATTAAGTCATATTTGTTGTCATATTAACCACCCATCACAGTTGCAGGAAGAAGGTGAAGCTAAAGCTGCACCGTCATCCTTTTATTTACATTATCTGAAGCTTGAACTTAGCTGTGTTTCCTCAATGTAAGAGGATGTGTGTGATCCCTCTTTAAAATAAAGCATGTATATGTGTGTGCACATGCATATGTATTTTTATATATATTTATGTATATATGCTTCTCTTTTCAGGTCTGTTACATTGAGGGTCACAAGGTAATCAGTCTGGCCAATGAGATGTTTGGCTTCAATGGCTGGGCTCATTCAGTCACTCAGCAGAATGTTGGTAAGTATCTCTTGAGGATAAAGAAGTCTTTCTTTTTGTTTCACTGTGAGGCCCTGAAGGAAAAGTCTCTCAGATGTTGACCAGGGTATCTATCCTAGAACTTGATCACTTCAAAGAACCTGGGGAGAGGCATGTGGAATTTCTAGGTGTCTTGGCAGTTGGTAAGAATGAGAGAAATTGAATAATAATGGGATTTCAGTTTTGTTTTAAGATCTTGCACTGGAATATGTCATAGTTGTTATTCTAAGTGTGTTTATGATTATTCTTGAGCTATTCTAATCAAGTTTTCTGATCTCTATGGGAACACTCAGTCAAGAGTAATTACAATTAAACCATTTTACACCCAGAAGCCCTAAGCCAACTTTCTTACTCACCTGTAATTTTTATATTCTAACAAGTTAGTATTCTCAGTTAATATTCTCCTAATCTTAAGGGACCCATCTTTTTCTGCAGATTCCTCTTCTAGACGATAGCTGGTTCTGAGATTTTTTACAGTAGAAAGCTTTGGAAAAAATTATTCTAGTAAACAGCATTCAGGTGATTTTAAAGCTTGAGCTTCTTCAATCTCAGTAGCTGAAATAGTACCTGCCAGAGGAGTATTGTCCTTGCTTACAGAGCTGCTATGCTTAGACGCAAGACTGGTTGTTGAAGTAGCTCAACAAAGCTGCATAAATGTACCTCCTTCCCCCTCCCCCCCGCTTTCATAAATCTTTTCTTACTTCAGGCTGGTAGATTCTAGATATAAAACGAGTTACGTCAAAGGTTTCTGTCTATTTTGTACCACTTTTTTTTCCCCCTTTTCAGTCAAGAAAGGACTGACATCCTTCAAACTTCTATCTTTTCCAAATAATGCCATAACAACTCATGCCTTAGCAATTCAGACACAGAGGATTCCATTACATTTCATTTTAAATTCCTGCATAGAGAAAGGGTTTACACCTCCAGCAGGTTTACAAAACAGTTGAACAAATAGACCAGATGAGTACAGAAGAACTTTTGGACCCCACAGTACAGTTGCTTGAATGTCAAAGCATTTCACTTCAGACATGTGTCATGTTTCTATCACACTTGCAAGACTGATAACTAGAGTGCCCTATGTATATTATATAGTATTGCTTTTGGTGTAAAATAAGGTAGATTAGAGATTCTGGATTGAGAGTTGTATTGCAACCTGTTAAGCTCTTTAGGCACTCTGACCTGGATAAAACTTTGTGCAACATTTCACAAACTGGAGACTTCTAGTATATAATAAGAGAGAAATTGCTTTTATAGACAACAGAATTTATTTCCCATTGCTGGTAATTATTAATTTTTAATAATTAATACTTGACAATTTTTATTCCAGCTGAAAAAAAATTGTTATGCTTTGAAAATTTAGGATATGTAGCTGGATGAGAAGTAATGTTTACAACTCTTCCTTCCTTCATATGTTTAAGTTTACGCATGTAGTAGCAGGGTGTGAGTGTTTGGCAGGTCAAACCACTGATAACCAGAAAGTATCACGTAACATGACCAGAGCATATATGCAAGTCAGCATTCTCAAACTACAGTTAATATTTTGTAAATCATGCTCCATTTTATAGAATATGATACAGTATCTGGGACACATTCAGCAAGGATGGTACAGGTTTATGAATGTCCTTAAAGGACAAAATAAGATCTAAATGTAGATCAGAAGCCTTCTGTATTATTTAGGATGTTACTTTTCCCTCCCCCAGACTTTGTTGATCTCAACAATGGCAGATTCTATGTGGGGGTCTGTGCATTTGTGAAAGTTCAGCTTAAGGTAAGTGGAGTTTTTTTTTTGTTTGCTCTTTCTATAATTGAGCAATTGTCTAAACCTGTGAATGAAAGCTCATGCATAGGTCAAACTGTGGTTCTCAAATACTGTACCACACCAGAGAACCTAGTGGCATCCAAAAACATTGACCTTGCTCTAGAACAACTAGCCAAGATTGAGTAATCAGGCTTAGGAAAGCACAGCATCTAACAAGAAGTGCTGTATGTGCAGAAATTCCCTTATACTTAGTATTTTTAAAATTTTACTGCAGGATGGATCATACCATGAAGATGTGGGGTATGGAGTCAGTGAAGGCCTAAAGTCTAAGGCCTTGTCCCTCGAAAAGGCAAGAAAGGAGGCAGTAACAGATGGACTGAAAAGGGCACTCAAGTAAGTGAAGATCAGTACTTGTACATTTTCAGAAGTTAAGTGAGAATTGTGTTATTTTCGGTCACAGTGAGCTCTTTTGTTTCTCAGGTGCTTTGGGAATGCTCTTGGGAACTGCATCCTAGACAAAGACTACCTACGAGCTGTGAATAAGCTTCCACGTCAGGTACAGTATGTGGGCTGTTAGAGCAGGGACTGCCGGATGTCCTCTGCTCCTGGTCCTTCATATTAAAAAGAATGTAAATAATTATATAAATGCATCTCATCCCTGAATGTTTCCAGCCATGAGATAGCCTTTGCCTACTAATTTCATTGTGTGAACTCTTTCTTACGGAGTTCTTCCCCAACGTTTTAGCACAGCTACTTTAAATTTTGACTATTCGTATTAGGCAAGGTTACTATGGTGAAGAAACAGTATCCTACTCAAGATCTCAGGTGACATTTATGGCCACGTTGTCTAAGGCTGTTCAGTGCCAGTAAGGCATACATCTGTGTTCATAGCAGGTTAAATGTTACCACAGGAAGCACTAAACTGTTTAACCTAGCTTGTTCAAGGTGCCATTTTCTCTGTGTGCTGCAGTTCTTAAGACTGTTTAAGCTTTGTCAGTTGCAGCAACTCAGTTCACCACTCATCTAGCCACTTCTGCTTTAAATGTCTATCAGCAGTGATACCAGTGTCAAGTCATATTCGTCACATAGGTGAAGAGGAAGGCCTTGGGAGAATAGGCTCTGTCAAGGCTGTGTGCGTGTTCTGTACTGTGTATTTTTGCCCTGTATAAGGCAAAAGGCAGAACAGATCTCTTAGTTTGTTCTTAGTAGTAGCACAATCCAGCTTACTGCTTTGAATTTTAAAAATCAAACTTACTTGTCGTATTCCTCTCATTACTGGACTTTTTCAGGAATTTAAAAAAAAAAACAACAAAAAAAAAAACCACAACACGATGAGAGATAACTGCATATGATGACACAATTGCCAATTGCTGTAATAGGTCATAAAACCAGAGGCTGTGGGCAAGGCAGAAGACTAGCCAGACAGTATATTTATTATCTGTATAACCTACCCTAAAGCAAATACAGCAAATTCCTCTGTGCATTC